ATTTATCCATCTATATATATATATATATACAAATTATCATAGTGTAGTACATGTATTTTTAGCTCATCTGACATAGTCAGATGCAGCTTGTAGAATCGCATGAGCGTGCGTGCGTCCGGCCGTGCGTGCGTCTGTGTGTCCGTGCGTTCGTGCGTGCGTCAACAGTTGGCACAAATCTTAACCGCACGACGTCCGGCCACGCTATTCGGACGCTGGGGGGCGTAATCCGAAGACGAGTTGGGATGTCGAAGCTGGGGGGTCAAAGGTCAAAGGTCAAGAGCTGTAAAGAAGGGGGAACATCTCCCATCCTTAACTTAAGGTATAGGAGGAAATGCAGAATTGCGGCAGCAAATCTAAATGGCTCGACCTAGGCTCGTGATTGTCGGTGTATAGCATCATGGTAGGAAAACACCATCACTGTGCCGAAATTGGAGGTCACAGGTTAAAGGTTCAATGGGGCAGAGGGCAAATTTTAGACATTTTTCTGAGGACATGGTCTGACGGAGGCGATTGAAAAAACTTTTTTGTTTCAGCGGTGACCTACCATTTTTATGGCTTTTTTGAAAGGACGTGAAATGTACTTTCGCCTGACATGCGAAGAGTAAGTGTCGGATAACTTTTGACCCTCAAGAGAGGCGTTAAATTGATTTGTTGACTGTTAACAAAGGACTACACTGGTTTTGCTATTATTAGAGCCCATACTGTGTGAATGTGAGGTGTCACAGTTTTAATTGCAAAGGCAAATGTTTGTTGAACAAGGTTTACGCTCCTTAATCATATATTTTTCTAAAGCAGTCTGTCTATAACGCACCCTGAAGGCTGAATCAGTGAATGCTCGTGTGGGTAGGCAAAACACACGGGGCAGCCCATGGCTGGCACGCTTCTAATCATAATTGTTTGGCCTTGCCAACCTGCAATGCACATGTGTCTGCAATTCATAGAGATTAGGTGGTGGGGAAAGTGTAGCTGATATATTTGTTCGAATTGGCTACGAAAGTCAAACAAGAATAAAGAAGACTTATGTATAAGACGTCTTGCTATGCACAAATGAATTTATCAGCAGAACACCAGACACGGTTATGTATATATTTATTATTATATATGATTATTATATATATGAGTACGTGCAAATGTTGTCATATAACTGTATTAATGTTTAATGATTTAATTTTAATATTGTTTAATTTTAAAGTAAATTTATTCACACCTTTACCGTCGCGGCTTTGCAGTCAACATCGGTCAGACTTCATTCGAGGCGCTGGCGCAGATCGTGCGAGCTCTCACATCAGAGCTGGAGTTCCACAATGACCACAACGGACGCAGTGGCATCCTCGCCACCTACATACAGTTCTCCTGCACCCTGCCGCACCCCGACGCAAGCCTCGCCGGTAGGAGCGCGCGTGACAGTAGTGGTGTGCTAGAGACGCATAGTAGGCAGTGCGCTACGGGTGTGGGGGGGGGGGGCGGTGCACGTTACAGTGACGCGCAGTGACTTTCGCGAGATGTTCAATTCGGTAGCTTCCTGATATATATACTGATATGTCCATTTATATATATGTATTTGTCAGACGGATAGAGAGACGGATAGAAGTCTCGTGGCAACACCCTCGTTCGTGTTGCTCACTTGTTAATGTTGATCACTTGTTAATGTTGCTCACTTGTTCACGTGCCTCGTCATCAGGCTCGATGGCGTGCAGTCCGACGGGTAACTACGGGATGGTGGGGCGTTCCAACACGCTGCCGATCCACGGTGGCTCCTCCCACCAGCGCAGCACGAGTAACCCGGACCTCACCGGCCGCATCCACCCGGTCGAGATAGAAGCTGCACCTGTCGCAGGTTCGTGCTTCGTTCTCGCGTTGTTCGTGCGTCAATCTCGCGTCGTTCGTGCGTTGTTTGTGCGTCGATCTCGCGTCGTTCGTGCGTCGATCTCGCGTCGTTCGTGCGTCGATCTCGCGTTGTTTGTGCGTCGATCTTGCGTCATTCGTGCGTTGTTCGTGCGTTGTTCGTGCGTCGATCTTGAGTCTTTTGTGTGTTGTTCATGCGTTGTTCGAGCGGTGTTAGTTTGTCGCTCGTGCATCGTTTGTTCGCACGTTGTTCCCCGTCGCTCTCGTTGTTTTGAGCAACGTTGCGGCGTCGCCCAACGTTGTAGCGCATCTGTTTTTTCGGTTCGTCGGTATTGCGTATTTGTTCTGACACAATTCAATGAATATTTATAAAGTTTTGCTCCTTGCTGCGCTGTGCCTGGAAAAATGGCTGCCGTGAAATTTTGCGTCAGGTTTTACTTGTTGATATTCATTGTTTTTTTCATTTGCACGGCAGTAATGGATTAAAATATGGTTGTCATTAGAAATGGTATGTTTAGACGCCGTAGCAATTTCGGTTGCGCAACATCATCATGGAGGGACACACTGGGAAATGGCCTATATTCCTATTTTATTACCTGATTTTGAGTCGACACCCTGTTATGTATGTTTGACCCCCAAGTTTACCAAAAACTCTTGTAACCGTGTAAATATTGTAAGTTACCTGTTAAAAAAAAAATCTGTAATGGTATAAACATTCTAAGTTAACACTATAAAAAGCCTTGTAACCTTGTAGACATTTTAAGCTAACCGTTAAAAAATATCATGACCGTATAAACATAGTAAGTTGCCACTCTAAAAAGCCTTGTAACCTTGTAGACATTGTAATCTAACCGTTAAAAAACCTCGTAACCGTGTAAACGTTGTAAGTTGACTGTTACAACTGTTGAGCCCCGCCGATAATGGGTCGTTGAAACGCGCGTCCGTGTTCGTAATGTGCTGTTGCGTCTTCCTTCCCCGTCGCCGCCGCTGCCGCTGCTGCTGCTGATTCCTCGTGTTCAGAGGCCGAAGATGTCACCCTGTATGACTCATTCTATGATGCGGATGGTGAGGAGGAGGGTGCACTACAGGGTGTGCCGTCGCGGCCACACGTCGTGTCGTCGTCTGTGTGTGTGTGTGTGTGCATGTGCGTGCGTGCGTGCGTCTGTTGTCGTTTTATGTGCTCTCACTGCCTGCGGTAGACAGCTGTCGATGACCCATCCTCCTGGCACGATTGACTGACAGCTCTGACCAATCGTTGTTGCGAGCGAGAGGGGTTCTAAAAGACCGTTCAGTGTGCATGCGTGTAGACACGTGTGAACGGATGTAGCATGACCGACCTAGCAGCGGTATTTGAGAGGGGCGTGGGTCTCTCGTTTGGACGGATGGGTCAGATTGATGGTGGTCTCTCACACGGTTACAATTCCTGACCAGTGATACGTGTTGTTGTGGCGAATCTGTCACGAGAAATAACGATTGTCGTGGAATGGGAAATGTAACCGATTTATTTATGCACCATAGTTGTCGTATCATATATTTATAGAATTATACGATTGTTGTTGTTGTTGTTGTTGTTGTGTGGGTAGGCAAAAACACGGGGCAGCCCATGGCTGGCACGCTTCTAATCATAATTGTTGCCTGCCAACCTGCAATGCACATGTGTCTGCAATTCATAGAGATTAGGTGGGTGCGAAAGTGTAGCTGATATATTTGTTCGAATTGGCTACGAAAGTCAACAAGAATAAAGAAGACTTATGTATAAGACGTCTTGCTATGCACAAATGAATTTATCAGCAGAACACCAGACACCAGATGAGCCCTGTCGCACTGCGGCACTTGTTTCTGTTGCGCATTAGACCATGACAACCCCCCCCCTTCCCCCTCACACACCTCAATCAGCGAGTGGCCTCTCTGCCATAAATTGATGCTCTCCATCAAGAGTCCATAAACTATTGCTCATACTACATAACATGCTATTTATTAACTGTAATGCCCGGGGGCTCATGACTAAGGACACCGCGTGTGTGTGTGAGCTCGTGGTTCCACGCTAGCGCGATGTTTACTCATCGCTGTGTATCGCCTGCTGCAGGAATCTACTCTACGTCTACCCCAAGAACCTGAACTTTGCTAGTCGCGCTGGATCGGCCAGAAACATCGCAGTTAAGGTGCAGTTCATAGCCGGGGAGGGAGACCACAACGCCCTGCCTGTGAGTTTGTAGTGTTAGATTATATGTAAATTATTATGTTATACATTGGGTAGGAAAACCAACATTCTCTGCCAGTAAGTTATAGACTATGTTAGATTATAGTATTTATTATATCATATATTATATTGGAGGGAAAGATCACAACACCCTAGATTGTGTTAGATAGCATTAATTATTATGTCACGTTAGCAAGTTGTACATAAGCCAATAAGCTATAGCCCATGGTAAATTAATCCATCTAGTCTCATCTCTCCATCTTGTGGAGTTGTAGATTACTTGACCCATCCAAATAGACTAGTTTCTACGTGTTCATCATGCCAAAGTGCAGACTTTATGCCACTTTGTCGCTAAGAATTAACTTTTAGAATGTCATGAGGCAACGATAATTGGCCAGAGTTACGTGTCAGTCACGAATCACGATGGGCAGATAGGTTAACTGGTTTAAGCACCGATACATTGACTCAGGTTTGACTTTGTGTGCCTACGTTGTGATTGCTGATTCAGATTCTGTCGTTTCTCTGCTACAGGTGATATTCGGCAAGTCGAGCTGTCCGGATTATCGTAACCACGCGTATGCAGCGGTAACCTACCACAACAAGTAAGCGCGAACGGCTGCTGTGCTGAGCGCACGCGGTCTATCCATCTACCACTGCCTATCATCGAGTCTGTGACCACACCTATCTTATATTACTTTTTTACTTTTAACATCACTTACTTATTTACTTGTCATTTCCTACATTTATAAATATAGTGAACGTGCGTGTGTGTGTGTATGTATGGAGAGTGTAGCATCAGTATGGTGTGATTCTTCCCGTAAAGAATACGACATATTCTGAATATCATGTTTCATGTCTAACATTTCAGGTGGTACTCCCTCCCACCCATTTTCCAGGGCCACCTCCCTCCAACACCGTCCCTCTCCCTCCACCCTCTACACGTTATGTGCGTATTTTACTTATTAGCAGATATACTATTATAATGTAATAATTTGTAATGATTATTATTATTTTTATTATTATAATATGATATATGTTATTAGTGTTATATAGCATGGCCGACTGTCTGTCTGTGCTAGGTACCCTGATTTCTATGAGGAGGTGAAGGTGAGGATGCCAGCAGTGCTGGACATACAGCATCACCTGCTCTTCACCTTCTTCCACATCAGCTGCCAGAAGAAGGTGGAGCAGACGCCCATAGAGACGCCCATCGGATACACGGTGAGTGCACCCCTCTCCTCCCCTACCCCACACACACAAACTCACTCCCTGCTAGCCCCACCCACCCCATCTCTTATCCTTATCAACTCCACCTCCTACTCTACCCCTTTCTCCTCCCCCACGCACACATACTCACTCCCTACTAGGTTCCCACACCCTAACCCTTACCCACTCCGCCTCCTACTCTACCCCGCTCCCCCACACATTCCCTGATGAAATCATTCAGTTAATCAATCATTCAACCCATCAATCTATCAGTAAATCAGTGTCGATCAATCAGTCAGTTCAACAGTTGGTCAATGAATCAATCGATCAATTAGACTGAGCAGAATCTATTGTTGAGTCATCGAGTTACCATCGCTCATGCTGCTGCTGCTGCTACTACTGCTGCTTCTGCTGCTGCTACTGCTACTGCTACTAATGCTGCTACTACTACTGCTGCTTCTGCTGCTGCTGCTGCTGCTACTGCTGCTGCTTCTGCTGCTTCTGCTGCTGCTGCTTCTGCTGCTTCTGCTGCAGCTCCTGCTGCTGCTGCTGCTGCTGCTACTACTACTGCTGCTTCTGCTGCTGCTGCTGCTGCTACTGCTGCTGCT